TCCCAACTCGCATCTTCGCACACGATCCTCGTGGACATAGCCCACAAGTTCAAGCACAATCTCCACGAAGGTCACTGCAGAGAGCATTGATCAGGACCAGCCTCGGATCAAGACACATGTTCGAGGTGATTTTAAGCAGAGAACTCACTGACAGCCATTCCTGTGGCCCTTTCCTCCCTCCCTCCCTCCCTCCCTCCCTCTCTCTCTCTCTCTCTCTCTCTCTCTCTCTCTCTCTCTCTCTCTCTCTCTCTCTCTCTCTGTGTCTCTCTCTCTCTCTCGTCGCTGGCTCGGTCGGTGGAAACGACGCACTCTATCAACTGAGCTAAATCACCGTGTTATTCCTAATCCAAAAGCACGGTTCTTTCGATCTTAAAGAAATCAATTAGTTAAAATCAGTAAACCATCATAGACCAAAATCCAAACATCTCCGTCTCTCTGCAACTTGAGAGTTTAACAGGGGAGGGCCCACCGAAATTCTCTCTCTCTCTCTCTCTCTCTCTCTCTCTCTCTCTCTCTCTCTCTCTCTCTCTCTCTCTCTCGCGCGCGCGCGCGCACATACATGCACACCCACACACACACACACACACACACACACACATATGAATACAATAATGCTAGGGGCTCCTCCCTTAAAGAGAACAAAAAGACGACCAAAGAAAGAGGAAAATATCAACAGACACGTCAGCAAGGAAAGGCCAGTTTAGGAATGGCAAATTTGAAATGCTTCTTCTGCCCACATAGATATTTGCAACAAAGGGGCGATTGGGTGTCTCATGCGGTCAGTGCCGCGCGTCTCTGAGGCCTTGGGCCTTATTCCACCCCTCACTCCCAAATGTGAGAAAAGGGGCGATTGGGTGTCTCATGCGGTCAGTGCCACGCGTCTCTGAGGTCTTGGGCATTATTCCACCCCTCACTCCCAAATGTGCGAAATGGCGAGTGTATATGAACATAGAAGGTGCCCCTACATTTCGCATTTGGTCAATGGTCTCTAATGAGATGAGGGTCATTGCTGCTAGAGGCTGTGGGGCCCTCTCAAAAGGGTTTCTTCACACTGCTGGAATTGCATTCGCACTGCATCCTCACAACCATTCATGTAAAAAATCCACTAACTACAAGCTGCACTTCCAATCGAGGTTTTCTGTTTCCACCATGCCCATGCGGCTGAGATCATGAGTTCGAATCCAGATGCTACTATACCAATATAATTAAATGCTATGGCCCTTAGAGCCTCCACCCACCAGTCGCCAGAAGTTAAGTCGGGTTCTTGCCGGGGTAAGAGCTTACCACTTCGGGCCTGGGCCGCTAGTGGTCTGTGGAGGCCACTCAGCTAAGGCTCAGCTGGAGGCTCCGGAGCCTCAGAAAGGTAGCTTCACATAAATTAAATAGGCTCGAGGGAACTGGGGTTTAACAAAGACAACTTTAAAGGGTTGTTTTCTCCTTCTGTAGTAGAATGTGATCCCCAAAGAGGTAAGGGGGCTTGCTGGAATAACCTGGGGGAGTGTTCCAAATGGCTGAGGTCATTGAACACCGTGCACCCACAGCCCAGCTCTGCCCTCCACCACTGTGCACCTGTGGGCACCCTCCGGCCTCGAGCGCCCGGCGTCTTCCAGTGCTCCATGCTGCAGTGCTGACGCTCACATGCGCGAGGCCAGAATGTCCTCTGGCTGGGCGCTCACTTTCCAATATGGAAAGTGAGCCCTGGGCCTGGCCGACTACGTTTCCAGTAGCTTCTGGTCGGGCCCCAGTATCTGTGCCCAGGCCCAATGCAGATAGCGCCCTGCGCCCACAACAGTTAAGCAGCCCAACTGTGCAATGTGGCCAGCGTCGTACTCTGCAATCCTATTGGCCGAGAGGCCCAGGGCCACATCGCAGCTGAGCAGAGCCCAGAGGCTCAAGTTGTCGCATTCACACTGGCGTGGGCTTTGTAACCGACTGGCGTGTGGAAACCGTCTAGCGCCCCCACATGCAAAATTGACAAAGATGAGGTCTCACGCTGAAATGCAGGCCCGGCTTCACTTAGGTCGGGCACGAAGCTTACTGGGGACCCCTTATCTGTCAGGTGTCACTGTCGGATAGGCCTGCGAGGGGCTCAATCCTCACACTCCCTCCTTAGCTTCGAACGTCCGCTGCTATGCTTCTATGCAGATGCTTTCCCCTTCAACTTTCGTTCATATTCAGCACCGACCTGAGGTGCTGTCTTGATCAGCTCCTCCTTCCTGAACGAACAGTCTTCCTTTGGATTTGACCCAGTACTCTCTGGTAGGTTTCGGTGGTCTTCCTCTGCCAACAGGCTTAGGAACAGGCAGATCTCAATGATCCATTATGTCATCAACGTCCATGTGGCCATCCATGGTTGGGGGCGGCATTGATCTCCTTGATGGGAATCTCTCAGTCTCAGCGAAACGTGCTAGCTTGGAAGCACGAAAGATAAGAGTTTCTCTAGCTTGGAAGCGCGAAAGACAGGATAAGTGCGCAGGTAACCAGGGATTCTAATCACATAAGCGGGACCATCCGGATCACTTCCAACCATATCAAAGACTTCCCAAGGACCAAGTACTGAGGCATTAGATTTCTAGAGATGAACTCCTGTCCTAATTCACTAGCCTTAACCCAGACTCGTTCTCCTACCTGAAACGTGGACTGTTGTCTGCGTCGTTTCTCATAAGCTATCATAGCTTCCTGAGATTTCTTGATATGCTCGACAGCCTGCTTCAACAGCTTCTCATACGACACCAAATTCACTGGTTCCCGGTGTTCCAGCTGGTCAGTTTTCAGAAAGGAGAAAGTCTAATGCTGATATAAGCTTCCACACCAAGTGCAGCTCATTCGGAGAGACACCAGTGGTGCTGTGAACAGCGTTATTGTACAGGCTGGTGATGAGAGGAAGTTCCTCATCCCAGTCCTCCTGGCTGGGCTTAATGTAATGCCTCAGCAGATGCTGTACCACACGGTTCATCTGCTCCCCTTGGCCATTTGCCTGAAGTCGTTTGCAGTTGGCTGCCCATCTGTTCAGCCGCTTTCTTCCACATCTCGCTGGTGAAACAGACATCTCTACCACTAACTATTGACTTGGGCAGTCCCAAATCACGCACCCAGTAATCCATGAATACCTTGATGACGTGCTCAGTCTTAGAAATCTCTGGTATGGAAACTAGCCTAGCGTACTTGGTGACCAATCTACTATGACAAAAATATGTCTCTTCCCACTCTTGCTGGTCACAAGGGTATCCATGAAGTCCACGGACACACTCTGTCCTGGGACAGCAGGTATGGGCAAGGGCTTGATTAACCCAAACAGAGCTTGAGTTCTCGGCTTGTCCCATTGACAGACTTCAGCTTGTCCCATTGACAGACTTTGGCTTGTCCCATTAACAGATTTGACAAATCTGTACGTAACCCTTGGCATCATCAAGCATAGAAGGCTACCAGGGGGACTTGGTTTAAACTTGGTTTCCACTATGGGCACCGGTTCCTGCCATGATCTGAACACCTCATGCCGCAGTGCGGCCCCGTTCAAATTGAAGAAGAAAACAAATTCGAATGTGCATGTATCTTCCCCAAAAACACACAAAGATACACCCGCGGTAGGTTTCCTCTATTTCACATTCGGTATTCGGTGAGTGGTATGGCTATGCACTTAGCCCCCGCAGGAGGGACTTAGCCCCGGGACCAAGTCCCACTAGCAGGGTCAAGTTTCCTCAAGGCACGAATCTGGACGTGTTTGTGGAGATATGGGGAAAATGGCGTCCAGTTTCCTCAACTGCACATCTCCACAAACACGTCCAGATTCGTGCCTTGAGAAACTCAGCGCTGCTAGTGGGACACTGGACCCAATTTCCTGCAGACATGGCCGCCCAGCCTTTCCTTTTTTTTTTTTTTTTTTTTT